CCCCCCCCTCTGAGCACCATGCCGCGCCAGCCCCCGCCCCTCCTCCGAGCGCCGCGCCAAGCCCCAGCCCCCTTCTGAGCGCCAAGCTCCCGCCCCCTCCGAGCGCCGTGCCGCCCCAGCCCCCGCCCCCCCAGCGCCGTACCAAGCCCCCGCCCTCCCGAGCGTCATGACACCTGAAGCCCCGTCCCCCTCTGAGCACCGTGCCGCCCGAAGCCCCGCCTCCCGAGCACCTGCCGCGGAAACAAAAAAAAAATCCCTCCAGCGCTGCCCCGATGAACTAATAAATAAATAAAAACCTGAGCGCCGCCCCGGCCCAAGGTGCCACCCCAAGCACGTGCTTGGTCGGTTGGTGCCTGGAGCCGGCCCTGGTTCTGGGAGAAGTTAAGTCCTATTTTTTCAGGTGTTTAGCTGCAGAGCCCTGAATCTAACAGGCCACTGGGAGATTCAAGGACCATTTCTCTATCTTTTTTTCTGGAGTAAGACATTGTGTTACAGTAGTGACAGAAAAAAACTGGGATTAAATCCTCAGCATCTATCTGCAATTGGTTTACTAGATTTGTGGATCAAGTTGGCCAACTGGAGCTCTGAGCACCATGGAATAGTAAATGGGATTCTAGCACATAGAAGCAGTTGACTGTGATCCAGTGAATTGCTGTCCAAAACGAAGGTGAGATGGTTGCATATCTGTCTGAAAGTATGTCTGACCATATATCGTCTTCTGTGGCTGCTTGGAAGCCAATGTCCTGTTTTGTTAAACCAATGGACTTGACCATTGGGAGGGGCAGAGTGGAAGGAAGAGAGGATGGCCTGGTTAAAGCCCCAGACTGTAAATCAGGAACTCTAGGTTCTGTTCCTTGCTCTGCCATAGATTTCATCTGTGACCTTGGATAAGTCCATTACTCTATGTCTCATCTGTAAAAATGTGGGTTATAATATTTCATCGCAGGAGTCCTAATTCACAGATGTCTGGAAAGAATTATGGATTGAAATCCTGACTAATAGAACTAAAATTCTGATTAGGAAAGGAAGGTTATTCTTTTAGAATTTTAGTTGCACTAAATACTTATGGATTCTGTGCATTTTTCTCAATTCTTTCTTACACAATTTGAAGGAATTTTCTTAAAAGAAAGAGAAAAATATCCAGAACTAATTCCAGTGACAACAGTCCCTTTCTCACTGTTGTATTAAATGTCATAGTGTCATCTTTTTTTCTAATACTGAAGTGTTATTACTCGTGTTACTAGAAGAAACCACATTCTGCAATCAACCCTATAATTTGAGTTAGTGTGAATACTAATTATACTATCACCACTGTACTGTAGTTATATGTACTGCAGAAAAAATCAAATTAGGAACTGTACATTAGCAAAGCATGTTTTGGTGGCTAAAATTATTGCCTTATATGCTTACAGCAAGAAAACTTCCATTATATTGTGCTGCATATCACAAGCAACTCCTTTCCCATGAGTTAAATGTATTAGTCAATTACTGTTCTCTGACACCAAAGGCCTGCTCCTGGGAATATCTGACTGGCTCAGTGAAGTGCGGAGGGTCCTCAGCTCACACTGCCTTCAATGGGAATTAACAGTGCCTGACATCTTGCATCAGCGAGTTCTCAGTGGGGACAATTTGATATTGTTGTTGTATCTCAAGAGGGATTGTTCATTTTCCCCAAAAACTTTTTATTCAGTAATCAGAAGCAAACACTTCCACCATGAGCATATCCTAAGCTGTGTGATAGATCAGTGGTTCTCAACCTGTGGTCCGTGGACTCCTGGGGATTCGGAGACTATGTCTAAAGGGTCCACCGAAAGGTTGTAGTTACCAAAGATCAGTGATTTTCAACCTGTGATCCATGGACCCCTGGGGGTCTGCAGACTGTCTGAGATTTCCAAAGGCGTCTGCCCCTCCATTTGAAATTTTTTAGGGGCCCATAAAGGAAAAAAAGGTTGAGAACCACTGTACTAGATCATACCAAGAGCCTAGCATATATGCATGAAAACAGAGGGAGAAGCAAAGACCAGCCACAAACCAAAAATGGGAGATAACAAAAAGGCAAACATAAAAACAAAAGAAATACTGGTACTGCTCAGTCGAGCATACACTTTAACTCTACGTGTTCCAGAAACACTCAGTCCCAGTTACGCTTCATTGTACAGCAACTTCACGCTTTGGTTCACATGTTTTCCCGGTTCTAGCCCCATCCAGCATCGTCTCCATGTTTGTATATCAGACATTACTCACCTGGGCAGGCTATCCTGCATTTCGATGGTGATAGAATTCCTAAAATTTTAGTGGGTGTTACTCTGCCCCTTCCCCCTTTATAAACATTGCTGGGAATAGGAAGCTAGGGTAACCTCACAAACACAGCCTTATTTCCTGAATGAA